GTTTGTTTTAGGAGGCTGTGATGTGCTGGAAGCCAAGCTGCAACCAACAGACAGGGGAGAGGAGCTCTCCCAAGTCCTCAGGAACCCCTAAAACGAACCGCCTAAGTAGGGGTGAGGATGGGGGGAGTGGGAGACGCTGGGCTGTTATTGGGAAGAGAGATTTGTAGACGACTCACCCTGAGACACCAGATTGCTAACGGAACAAACTTCACGAACTTTATCCCAATTTTTATTTTTATTTTTGCTTCTGTTAAATTCTCAAATCCAAAAAGCTCTCCCTCTTCCAACCAACTCAAATTGATGTTGAAGTTGGAGATATTGGTTTGGGCTGGAGATAAGGAAGATGTGGCTTCTCAACAGGGAACAAATGTCACTTTTTTTTTTGCTTTTTAACATTGGTCAAGTCTCAGCAGGGGGGTTCGCCAAATGCCCCCTACACTGACAGTAATCTGTGCTGCTTTCACTTTGCATTGGGGCTGCTGGTAAACTTGTAGGGGTTTTCAGGCCCTGGGCCAACACTCTTAGCAACTCTGGGGTGCCAGTGTAATGGTGTTATCAATCAGCTTGAGCAGTTTGAGGTACACTGAGGAAACATTTTGGGGGGCTGGCATGGGAAACCTCTCATCTTTAATCTCCCTAAACATCAATAACAGCCTAGATCTGCATCCAGCACCCCCTTCTCCCATACTTGTCATGTATTTCTAAGGAGCCTGAGATGCTTTTCTCACCTACCGCCACATCCCCTCCTAAGGAACTCTACCTCCAGTGTTCTCCACCTAGAATTTTTTTAGGGCTTAATATGCTGTTTTTTTTTTTTAAAGCAAAAACACTCTCAAACAACCCCTTTGGGGAGGAGAATCCTGGCCTTCAGGAATTTATTTGAATCAAACTTTCCTTCATTTCCCTCCTCTTTCCACCAAGGTCCCAATAGGATATGCAGCCGTCTGTTGCCTGGCAGAGCCCTGGTGGCATAGTGGTTAAAGGACTCAGCTGCAAACCAAAAGGTTGGCAGTTTAAATCCACCAGCTGCTTCTTGGAAACCCTTTGGGGCAGTTCTGCTCTGTCCTATAGGGTCACTATGAGTCAGAATTGACTTGGACAGCAATGGGTTTTATTGTCTGGCAGTTCTTCACTTTCTTTTTCTCTTCACACCACCCACAGAATTTCTACAGTCGTCCTAGACAACTTGCCTTGGGAGAGGTCATTTTTCACCTCTGCCCAGGGCTGACCCATGCTGAGAATACCCCAGAGAGTGCGTGGGGCTATGGTCCCAGATTATTTTGTGAGCCAATGCAAGCATGGCAGGGGGTGTTACTAAGTATGGGGCAGCTAGCAATTTGTGGTCTGGTTGGGGTATTATATGAAGGTAGATGAGGGTTTTACTTGGCCCAGCTGTTGTGGAAGTGCCTCCTGTGTTGAGAGAGAGGGTGCTTTTTAATGATTCCCTTTCCACTGAATGTACAGTTGACCCCTACAATAAGAAGGCTCATTATTACATACATTTGGATATATAGGGAGTGAAATCACTTCTACTATCCCTCCCAAATAGCTTGGCTCTTTAAGTAAAAGCCAGAGATAACCTGGTTAGCACCAACATTATATGTACAGGCTGTAGTGTTTTTTTTAAGTGCAATGGTTCCTGTGTTTTTTTCCCCTACCAAACACTCTGGCGTATTTCATTAACTACTTTTCCTTTTTCTACCTTAGTTTTTGTTTCCTTTTATGCTTCAGAACAATACAGATTTCTTATTAAAAATAGTCTTCTCAGTCTGCACACATTGGCAGGGATGCTGTGGAGGGTAGTAAAAAGAGAACTGGACTTGCAGATCTGAAACTTCAATTCTAATCCTTGCTCTCCCACTAGTTAGCCCTGGGATCCTGGGTTTGTCACCCTCTCTGGGCCTAGATGTCCCCATATCTAAAATGAGATTCAACTGGGTGGTCTTTAAATGAGACTATGACAATCTAGTAGCCAATCCTTTATGCTAGCTCTGGCCTTTTTCTCCCCAAAGGGGTTGATGACTGGGAAGGATGATGCCTTCTTTTATTTGCATAGCGTTGTTGTTTACAGTGTGCTTCCACATTCCTTATTTCTTTAGCCTCTTATAGCCACCCTGTGAGGCATTCAGAGTAGGTTGTGGAGAAACTGATGGAAAAACTGATGCTGTGATGCATTCAGTAGTTTGCCTAGGTCTATCATATGGTGAATCAGTGGTAGGCTCAACCAAACCAAACCAAATCAAACTTATTGCCGTTGAATTGATTTCAACTCATAGTGATCCTACAGGACAGAGTAGAACTGCCCCATAGAAACATTTTTACTGAGGCAGACTGCCACATCTTTTTCCCGAGGAGTGACTGGTGGGTTCAAACCATCAACCTTTTGGTTGGCAGCCGAGCGCTTTAACCACTGCTCCACCTGGGCTCCTAGGCAGGCTCAAGTCTATTGCATTTTCTACTACTTAGAGAGTTTCTTGGTTCTTCTGGTAGTACAAAAGTTTGTGAAGGAGCATGGGGCAATAGCTTTCAGTTAAGTATCCAGTCTTAGCAGCCGCCCACCCCAGTGACACTTTCCATGCCAGTTGTGGTTGCACAAGAGGTGAGGACTGGGCTGTTGGTACTCTCTGATAAGGTCTGGGCTCAGGGATCAGGAGAAGACTATTTTGGTGACTCCAAATTACTAGTGATATGCTCAAGTCAGGCAGAGAGAGGTAGGGTACAAGAGCTATGGTGGGAAAATGTTGAGGAACCTCTACTGCTGTTATGGGAAAGAAACAGAAGCAATATGGGTCCGGGATGATATGGTATACATGCTTGCAGATACCTTGTGGAACAGACAGAGATGTCTTGTGGAACATACGGAGACATTTGAGGAATGGGGGAATTTGAGATAAAGGTGATTAGTGGGAGAAGAAGGAATGGAGGGTAAAGATCTAGCTCATATTTGTCCAGGGAAAACCTTTTGACCAGGAAAATAACCAGGTTGAGGGAATCATCAATTCCTACTGGCTCCTGTGATTTCCCTGAACGTGGGGAATTTAAGCTGCCCAATTTATGAAGACTGGTATAGTCTCCTCTTGCAGTCAGGTGACAAAGAAAGAGGAAGTGTTTTAAAAAAGAAACTATTGATTATCTCAAGTGTTAAGGGATGGTTATGATTTCCCCATGCATTGTAGTGTTCTTAGTGAGATCATGAGAACAAGTAAAAGAAATATGACCCGTGAGAGAATTGGGCCTGTGACCATGATGTTATTACAGTAATTCCTTTGGCTAGAGTTTTATACTATCTCATTGACCCAAGAAGCCTGTCCGAATGAAATGGGGATTTTTTTAATATAAATTTTTTTTTATTGTACTTTAGATGAAGGTTTAAGAACAAATAGTTTCTCATTAAACAGTCAGTACACATATTGTTTTATGACATTGGTTAACAACTCCACGACATGTCAACACTCTCCCTTCTTGACCTTGGAGGACTTTATTTTTTTGGTGAAAATATACATAGCCAAAGTTACACCATTTGAAAAGTTTTTACATGTACAATTCAGTGACATCAACTACATCCTTCCAGTTGTGCTGCTATTCTCACTATCCTTTTCCAAATAATTCTGTCACCATTATCTTCAACTCACTGCCCCCTAGGCTTCCCATCAAAACTTCTGAGTTGCTGTTGTCAATTTGATCTCACATAGATAATTCTTTTTTTTAACCTTAGTTGAATGTTTACAGAACAAATAATTTCGCATTAAACAGTGCACATAATGCCCTATGGCAATGGTTAACAACCCCACCACATGTCATCACTGTCCCTTCTCAACCTTGGGTTCTGAAATTGGGATTTTTTCCTAATCAGATTTGGCTTTTCTGCTACCTAGGGATCTACCTCTGCAGTGTAGAGAGTCATCCACGAAGTTAGCTCCCTGCCTTGGAAAGGATCCTCTGTGGGAATGGATGATCTTTCCAAGGGTTTTGACACCAATGAGACTGCATAAAATAATATGTTATTTCCTCCTGTGAGGGGTGTGTGTGTGTGTGTGTGTGTGTGTGTAAGTGAGAGAGAGAGACGCTGAGCTGGAATGTGAGATTGCTATACCCATTTTAAGTTCTTGGAACTGTGCCTTGAGATTTGACTGAGGGTAAAGAAAAGAAAGGGTGACCA